GACACACAATTGAAGGAGACCTGAGGTCTGTGGGCTGCCAGGCAAAGAGACTCAACTAAATGCTGGTGACGTGCACTGAAACAATCTTGCCTGCCTCCTGTGGCATAATTGCTCCTCCCCCTAGAAGTTAGACGGTGGATGGAAGTCTCAGGGATCAGGAAAAGGCAGCGATTGTATGCCCCCCTCTCAGCAGTTCCTTGTCTGGGGTAAACACACCGAGTCAAATCGTCCCTTTCACCTAACCCCATCCCGTCTCATCCTTTCTCTGCCTCCCTTGTGCACTGAACAGGACGTGCTCAACAGATGATGCGTGCATTCACTGAGTTATTTTCCACAAAACAATTGCAGTAGGCTTTGGAGAACACAGTAGGACTGTACTCAAACGGCCGCTGCGCACAAAATGGTACTAATATTACATCGCATGCGTTTGTGTGAAAGGCATCAATGTAACAAATCAAGACAGCTAACTAAAGTATGATGAGAGAGACGGAGCCAAGGAAAGAGGGATAAAGAGATGGAAGAAAGACAGAAAACGGGGTAGATAAAGAGAGAGCAGATGGGCCATGAAGGAGTTGATAACGCCTTGGCGTAAAACACAGGCTTGTGTACATGCATGCAACGAGAGAGGATCATTCAGCAGATGGGGCCTCAGATTGGATGCTTCATTTTGGACAGACGCAGTGCAGGCGTAGGGTGGTTAGAAAAATGAATCAACAACACAAAACAAATCTGAAAAAAAAGATACTGGATGAAATGAGCGAAAGGGAGGGGGGGGGGGGCAGTAAATGTGTTAAATCAGAAAGCTCATGTGTGTTGTGCTCCTTATTGAGACTGTTATTATTTTGCCAGGGAAGCAGGCTGTAATTACCATGTGAAAGCACAGAAGCTGCCCGGGGTTCATGTGAATCCACACGGAAGTGCTGAAAATGTTTGCCTAAGCAGGAAGGAAGACACTGCGGGTCAGCGTGCATCAAAATACACATTAGTAACTTTGAGAATGTCACGAGGCAGCTCTGTTTAACCTTTTCCTTGCTCTAGGAGAAAAGGTAAAAAGTACTTATTTAAACCTGCAGTCTTAAAAACCCTTAAAAAAAAAGCTTTTTGTCTTCAGGTGGGAAGGGAGTCCTCACAATGTAACATATTCAAGTCAAGTAACAATACAACCAAACTTTCCACATAGAAGCAAAGAGTCTTTTACTATTTCTTATTCACGTCTATACACCCCTGTGCACACAGACACACACTATCCCTCAACTTTTCCCCAGCTTGACTGTGCCTTATATTTCATATTCATGAGGATAACTTGGCTAAGCTTGATTGAAAGGTGCATCGGAGGGAGTCCTATCCCCGCTCAGCCAGAGACCTCCTCCACTCCATCCTCCGGTCCCCTCAAATCCAGAGAGTCCATTCACAGCTTGCCGAGAGTGCACCAGAAAAATCAATACGTGCAACGCTACAATATACTAGCGACAAATTGATTTCATCCTAAGGCAATTTCGACCCGAGTACAAATGCGGGTGGGTTTTAGCACTGAAGGGGTCTTTTACTGAGCCTTCCCTCGATTAGCCCCTTATGTAGTTAATACATTTTATCCTCTTATATAATGTTCCTTATGGATAATATCGATCATTTTACACTTCTCCTGGGAGCTGCTGGCAGAGGAACGATGGACCAATGTGACAGCAACATGAAAGGCCTTGTAATGGATGAGAAAGCTAGCCTCGGACTCACTAAAGCACTCGACGGAAGGAAAGAGTTTTAATATACTACTTGATGTACAGTAGTGGATCTATCTGATTGTTTAGGCATATGTCCTTCCTCAGCAGTACACTGTATAATAATGACATCTGCAACACAACAAACTGGGACCCAATTTACCTTTTCAACCTCCCAGCAAGAGCTTGTTTTAACTGTCAGAACCATCTTTGCAAAAATCTGTGATATGACAGACTCTCCAAGTTTTTTGTCATAAGTAGATAAGTTATTTAAGGTTTTACAAGTCCAACATTTTGGAACTGACCCTAAAAAGCCCCAACTACCCAAATTGACATGCGTATACACATTTAAAAAGAAAAAAAGAATGAAATCTGATGAAAAAACAATGGAATCTCATGGTAGTAGGAAATACACTTAATTAGGTCCTCATACAAAATGAGGTAGATTCGAGCAGACCCAAAAAGAGAGAGAGAGCCAACATGACGATGCACGATGCGGCAACAATTAATGAGCAGCAGAAAGGAGGAGCTACACGCGTCACTTCACAGCTCATGCTCTCGCTGATAGCGAGGCGGCTTAGATCCACTTAGGTATTAGATAAATTGACACAAGACCCCAGGAAATAGCAGCTGGATACAATAAACTGCAAAATTAGGAGCTGCTTTTGGGACCCAGGTCTTGGTTATTAGGAACCAAGGGGAGCACTGGAGACCTCCATTTGGTTTGTTGTAATAACAACATATCAGAACATCTGCAAATATCTCATTAGAATATTTTTTCGTCAGCAATAAATGCTACTCTGCTATTAACAACGAGAAGTACTAGGGAGTTAGAACAGATTCAGACCATGGCTGTTGTGCATAACTTTCCCTCCACTTCATGGCTCGAGGCCATGGATAGCACATCAAACAGCAGCTTCTCACAGAGTTCAGCCCCGGCTCCCTCGGCGCCGGTTTCAACTTGGCACCACGATGAAGAGGACCGGCTTGGCAAAAAAGCTGCTCGTGGTGCCGGACAAATGCAATTCCCTAAGTGTGGCGCAACATGCAAGAAAGAATACAAGATGGAACAGAACACACACAAGCACATTCTGTTTCTGTGCATGCGGTCATGGAAGGCTGTGTCGCTTCCTTCGTCTCTGAGGGATCACCAGGAAGGAACAGTTGAATAGAACAATGAGAGACAATTGAATTATTTAGAAAGAAGGATTGGAAGCAGAAGAGACACAAGAGCAGTGCGAGGCGTCTTCCTCACAAATCCAAATGAATACTAGTCTAAGAATGAATTGTACTCTCTCAATACAGAGATAACCTGTAAATGCTGATATCGTCTTCATCATGTTGCTTCAGTGTCTTCTTGACATACTTGTAATCATGCTTGTATATAACTTATTTATGCCTTGTGTGAAATAACTTCAACGGAAGCATTGGGTGGAAACAAGCTTCGGTGTACTGTGTGCCATCAGTCCGGCGTGATTGCACTGGGAGCTCATTCCAGTTAAAAAAAATATATAAAAAATAATTTCAAAGCACAATTTACTGACATCACGAGGACATGTGTGGCACTTTGGTGGTGCTCCCTAATAAATCATTCAAAACTCTTTTGTCATGCTTCCCTATGTGTAAAAGATAATACGTGAAATAATTAATGTTATCTTTGCACTGAAGGGCAAAAGAGAATTGAAGAAAACAGAGCAGTGTTTGCACCGCGGGACACAACACAACCGAACAGAACTTACTGATAACACTTCTACTTAATGTTATTCAGCCAAAACACCAACGGATTCTCTCTCCACCCTTCATCACTTACAATATTTGTATGGTTGGATTTAACTTCAAAATGAGTGAATAATACCTCTGGTCTTGTGTTGCACACACCATGAGCTGGCCTCGGATTGCCCCACTTAGCCCTCTATAGGAAAAAGCTTGACATCTTTTTTTGCAAGTCAGAAGCTTCATTTCTCACTGACCTCAGGGTCAGGGCGCCTGAAGGAAACCTAGCAGCAGCACAAGGATCCATTGTTCAGAAAGAGGCAGCGCCACCCACACAATGTTTTCCTACTTAGTACGCTATTTATCAGCAATCACATTCACTGTCTTCTCCAACTTCTGAGGAAACAGGCTTGGGTCGATTGCAGAGTGGGTTGTAAATCAGACGAGAAACACTGTCTGTAAGCAGGAGCGATGTGTGGAAATAATAGAAGAGATAACGTCTTTTCACAACATCCAGAGTCAGCGTTATATCCCTTAGTGTGAGAGGATTAATTGTGGTAACAGCACCAGTAGTGTACTCAGGAGAAGTAGAAGAGGAAGACTGTCCGTATATTTCCATCTTGTGTGAAGGTGATAGAAGTCTGTAAACAACTACCACATTGGCCAATTTATTCATTAAATTGTGCAATGTACCGTCCAACCGGTCGTTTTACTGTTTTTGTGTTTTGGTAAAAGATTGTCTGAAAGCACCCCCCCTGTTATGCCCTTTGTAGATTTTTTTCTCAATAACACCAGGATATCTTTACGGGCTTATTGGTAGATCAACGTGAAACAATACAAATAACTGTTGCTTGTCAGCATAGTTTCAAAAGCAGTGGGTAAACAGCCTTGTGCTTGGCAACTATTGAATAACAATGGCATCTAAAACGGGGATCTGATCACAGTTGAATTCAGCTGTTAAAACCTTTTCGGAGTCATTAACTCAAAGACAGCAATTTGAAACAAGGTAATGAAGTGAGTGAAGTGAATAATTAAGTTTCAGGCAAGAGTCGGCGAAGCATTCAATGCAAAGTGGAAAAAATAGCTTTCAAAATATCAGTCTGTTTCCGTTCGGCCATCAACCGCTATTACCCTTTTATCAAGTTGACATTGGTGTGTGAATTGCCTCCATTTGCTAGGACTGTTTCCAACTCAACAATAATTTCAAAAATAACATTACATATAATGTTTAGAGCAGATTATTTTGCTAATGCTGGGCAGCTTGTCAGGCTTCGGAGTGAAAACAGTTTATCAGCTGCCCTAACCTGTTAACCTCTCAGCGGAAGTCTCAGTCGATGGTGAATGGAAGGGTAAAAATACACACACACACTCCAGGAGGCATGGAAATATAGAATGTTAAATGTTTGATCTCAGATAAAAACAAGCTTTGTATAAGATTGAACTCATGGTGAAGTTGCATTATCATTGACTAACAGGCCACGTCTTTGATCAAAAGGCACTCATACTCAAATACCCACAACAAGACACAGCGCTGACAAAATGTGAGCAACCAGAAAAAATAAATTCACTCACCTGTGAGGTTTTTCAGACCGAGCTGGCGCAGGCCAAAGTTCCCATCACGTCGGTAGTTGAGGAAGATTGCAAGGGAGTAGCGGTCCTCGTAGAGCTTGGTTCCTCGGATGATTCTCAAGTTCTCCAAAGGGAGGTAGTCAAACTGGTTCAGCGCCACCAACACGTAGCCCGTCACTTCTCGGATGGACTGTGGACAAAGTTACGACGGGAGGTGTTAGTGTGGGTTTTAATTGGATATAATACTGTTGCATATATACACACACAACAGTTCAAATCATGTGTTACAGTACATGAAAGACATGGAAGGAAAAAAATATATATTTCTGTTGGTGGATCAAAATGATGGTTTCAACCATGTAAGCTAGTACAAGGCCAAGGGGTAGAGTAGTTTATAAAACGGTAGTGCCGGCGTGCAGACCTTGAGGACCCCGTGTCATTTTTTTTTCTAGGAACTCAGGGTTTCACCGACATTGTTTTCAGCCAACAATACACCACTGTACAAGTACATGTTGAACAGAGCTTTAGAGTCTACCTCCCAAGATTTTTTACATCTAGATGGATCTTGTTGTACACAATCTACTGAATCTCTCTGATTCTAGCTGGTTTACGTTCTTATAACAATATGTGTTTTGCTGATAACAGGTTGTTTCAAGCCTTTACACACCTGTGGCGTTTTTTTGTTGGCGATTAATATGCACATCAATATGTTCTTTTTTAAATGTTGTTTTTGTCATACATTTTGTCCATACTTTCACTGTACCCGAATATTACGAGGCAACAAAGATCAAATTCACTCAGAGCATTGCGCTGAAAGGAAACTCAATGAAACAGCTTACAGTAGCTTACACTCAACTAAATGTTCCCTCTGACTGACTGCTATAGATGCTGCTCTAGGTCAATAGGACCCCAGTAGTTGTTCCTCTGCCTGCGCAAATGTATTCAAAACCTTTTATTGGAAAAGTGTCACAACCTTCGCAAATATGCATCACTGCCGGTATGAAGAGTTTGTGTAGCAAAGACCTTTAAAATCTGGTCTGGCATCTGAAAGTGGAAGTGAACAAAAGTATAAATGCCCTTAGTATAAGCGTCCATCTGCCCTTTCAGAAGTATACTATCCCACCTTATATGCAGGAATATAGTGCTAAACGATGAGTCCATCCATCAGTGCACACTTTCTGGTAAACTGTTGTCTGACTGCAATTGTTCGTTTTACTTAATATATTCTGTATTACCTATTCTGTTAGAAGTTGCCATTGACAATCAAGCAATGCATTTAATGACCTTTTTTTCACAGAAAGAAATATATCACTTTTCAGATATATTTCCCTCTATAGTATACACATAACTTCAGCAAGGTTCCTATATGAACAGTTTTTCCTGTGCCATCGTCTATGCTTGTACAAGCTGTATTCAAGCATGTAGCTTATGCAGTTTGAAAATATATACAAATGCAGTAACAATATTTCAAGGCTGTTATTCACCAAGAAAATCCCAAGGTTTATTCTCCTACACTTCAGTGCTTCTGAATGTCTTAATTTATATCAAAGGTAATTAATTGTCACGTTAAGATTTAAAAGGAATGGACAAAATAGATTTGCATGCAAAGAGTGGCATAGAGAGGATGCATCAGATAATAATCAAGAAACAATCAAAACAAACAGACGCGGATAAAAAAAAAAAGGAAAGTCAGATCATTGACAACATCTTTCTTCAAGGTCACTTTTCACAGTTTCAATAATGCCAGCAAGTTGAGCTAGAGCATCTGAGTGAGGAGAACTCGCACCGGGGTTTGTGACCTCAATGCAAAACGCTCATGTCCAGGGCTCGGCCTGGGGTGACTGAGCCACAAGGACAGCCGTTGCTTTACACTTTAAATGTCATTTAGGAGGGGATAGAACGACTGTCGAGACTTTGGCGCGGCGCCACCCAGTTGGAGCTGCTGTTGCGTGAATCAAAGTGACAGGCCGTGTCCGCTTTCTCCCATCCACCATCATGGTGGCTGTCATTAGCAGACAGGCGGTCAGAGAAGTCTTTCCGCGCCGGCCCCGCTGATGCTGATAATCAACAAGTCTTGTGTGTGTGTGTGAAGTGCTGTTGCAGCTGATGTGCTGAGCTGAAATAATTCCTAAGGAGGGCCCTGGCAGCGTAGTCATGGCGGCTGACAGCTGTCAGAGAGCATGGCCATCAGCCACCAGTAAGTAAGCCACGGCCACAGCTCCGTCATCATTACCCTGCTGATTACCATTAATAGAAACAGACGGGCCATAGTCTGGAGAGTCTGTGTGTATCAACGTGAAAGAGAGATGGGGAATTTATATTCAGTTTGTGTATGCTCATGTTTTTATTGGTTTAGAAACTATTTGGAAAAGAAGATCAAGGATAACGGTGGGCTCTAGGGAGCAAAAGTTGATGCATGTCCATTTGTCTATGTCTATGTGTGCATGCATACGTGTACAATATATTGAGCTCCTTTGATGTGTGTCTATGTTGTACTCCGTTGTACCATCAGTGTGAACACAGCGTTAGACAGTCAAGGCCATACTTAACACTTTGACGTTATTTTACTAGCCGAGAGATGAAGTCTGTTGGATGACTCACATTCACCCTTCTGGGGCCTTAATAATAAAGGTCTTTTCAATCCCGCTCCTCAACCACATAGCTCCAAGTCTATGCAGTCCAGTGACATTGCCCTGCGCACTGTGCCATAAACCACCAGTATCCTCCCTACCAATGATGCAGGTACTTTTCCTTGCAACCAAAAGGTGGAGGGTGGCACACAGCAGTAAGAGGAATAAACTCTGGTTGACTGAATATGAGCATCTACAGTAGCCGATTATTATTTCAGGGCACACACTTCATATGTGCTTTTTTCACTTCTTTTTTCCGAGCCTGTTTATTACCCCACCCGCAAGCTTGCCGGTTTGTTATTTTCAAGCCACCAAATCAATACTTTCCCAAAGTGCAGCCTTGTAGAGGGAAATAAAACAAGGGAGAAAGAAGATGGCAGGTACACACGCTTTTCTCCCCACAGATTGTTTGTTCAATAATGAACTGCATGAAAAAAGGGAAACCATTTGTAGTGATTACAGGACCTTGCTGAGCTAATGGCCAAATCTGCTCTGCGTGGTCACTTTCATTAAACACAGATCAACAAAACAAGCCCAGCAACACCACGGGTGCAGGCCGAGTGCACCGTATGTCCACTTCAGGGAAACAGGCACCTGGAGAAAAGACCCTTAAGGAAAATACATTAAAACATGATATTGAAAAATATGTTAATAATACATGAGAGCCCACAGTATGTGATGCTGTGGCAATGCTGAGTTTGGTACAGGTGCTGACATAATAGCATATTTCATTTTTATGTGATCGTGTGTGTGTGTGTGTGCACGTGCACTCACACACACACACACACACACACACACACACACACACACACACACACAGTCGTTTGAGTGACCTCTTCTATTTAGCTACAGTGCAATTAGAGCAATAAATGACCTGCTAAAGATAAGATGACACATTTTTGTCCTGGATTTCTCGCAGTAAAAATGGAACCTGCCTCATCTTGTTGAAATTCAAGATGTTGTTGACATAGGCACTTTAAACAGGAAAGTGCAATTTGTTCATCTTCCACAATCCCTTCGGTGAATATGTAGTCTCTTTTTTTTTCACTAATCTTGTAGAATGGGATGTTAGACATCTTCACTACATGTCGACTTAACTGTGTAGAGACCTTGCAACTCACAAACACACACCCTACATGTCTGCCAAGTGATCAACGTCCCAGAGTCCCAGTAACAGTGAACAAAAGAGACAGAGAGAGAGAGAGAGAGAGAGAGAGAGAGAGAGAGAGAGAGAGAGACAGATTCACTAGATTAACAGGGATTTCTCCCTCCTCCCTCCTCTCCAAGCCAGAGCATTTGTGAACGGAAGTGTGGCAGCGGAACAAACCCCTCACTTGAGTCACCGAGACGTGTGTGGTTTTGAAATCGAGTCCTTCAATCCCCAACTTCTAAAAGGAGAGGAGAGGGAGAGAGGGAGGTTTTGGAGGTAGAGTTAGTGAAGGAGGGAGGCAGAAAGGATACAAAATAAAAAAGGAAAAGGGAGACAGAGAGGGTGGAACACACACTGCAGGAGGAGGAGCTCAGTCAAGTGGATCGGACTGGGTCAACGTATATTTTAATGCCTAATTAAAACCACACGTGTTCCAGGTCAAGAAAAGAGACAGGAAAGGGTCTGAGGAGGGGTGAGACGTTGGGAGGGGTGATGCAGGGCTGAAAGTGTAATGACACCATTAGCATGTTTGAAGAGACTGAACACACGTTAGCATGATTCCCTCTCATTTCCATACATATTGAGGCGTAGCGATGTGCTCCACGGGGCCGCGGTCATTGAAGTCTGATTCACAGGAGTGCACTGGGAGGGCTTAAGGTCTGCCTTGCATCACTAAGTCCTCATCCTCGATTTCCATAACGCTTCTCTAAACCTGCTGCCTGAGCTCATATCCACATCCGTAAACAGACACAGAACCCGGATGGAGTGTCTACAAGTGTAAGTGAGAAAATCCTCAGGAGTTTTCCCGGGAGCTCATCCTCAATGTAAGCGACAACCTACTGGATATATTGCTGGTCATTTTCCCATTTTTGAAAAGTGAAGGTTTGATTACAATTTTGACATAAATATCTGACATTAATTTCCATAAATGAGTGTTAAACCTCCGTTGTGAATAACTCATTCATGTCGCTCACAAAGTCAGTTCTGTGCACTTGTGCATATTAACACTGAACAAGTGCAATGTTTCACAGTATGAGAGGCGTTCCTGGTGGAATTCGTGAGTATTTTCTTCAAGTTCAAACTCACACCAACGGTGTTGCCGTGCTTTGCTGTAAGTCGTCCACCTACAGCCCTGCAAACAGTCTGCTCCCAGCCTGGTAACACCTCAATCCCTCTGGAGTGCCTCAAACCCAATACAAGCCACTCAAAACACCTGCAGTCGATGCTGCCTTTGATGTAGGTGTGTGTGTGTGTGTGTGTTTGCTTTACTCACATGTCTTTTATTGCTTGGACAAGATTATTATGACGACTCGTCTTTGAAGATGAAGAGAAACTATCCCTTCTGTTTCTTACATCACACCTCTTATGCTCTCATGAAACAAATCTGTGTGCGTATACGTGTGTTTATTT